ATATATAAAATAAGCTTTGAAGTTTAGAGGTGATACAAGAGAGTAACAAACACACACATACACACACAAAAGAGGAGATAAGGACTATAGATATTTGATATGGAAGAAGGAGCAAACCCCCAACACAAATTTTCAGAAATGGTAGCAGGAAAGAGGAATATGTACGTAACACTATGATATGACATCAGTGGGCTATTACTACACATGGTATGTAGCCACACTCATTTGTTATATATTTGCATGTGTCTTTTAAAAACTGCTTTTTAGTTATAGTAAGTGTCTTATGGCACTTGCAACACAATAAGGTCATATACGTGCCGAAGATTAGAAGTGTTACAAGAGAATAACAAACACAAAAAAGAAGGAGGGGAGATAAGGACGATAGATGTTTGATAGGAAAGAAGAAGCAAACCCCACCAGAGCACCCGCCAACCATCCACAGTAGAAATTGTCTAAGATGGCTACCCACTGTCGAGGAGAAAAGTGGTTGTTTTATGTAGTGTCATTATAATGTAAAGAATACACAAAGGAAGAAGTGGGAAGCGGCTGTTTTTTTTTACAAATGATTGGCTTATACACAGTACATTTGGAACAGATTCAACTGTAAGTTCGGATTCTGAATTAAAAGTCACATCACACTTATTTCAAAACAAGAAATACAAACTGTGCTAACTGGCTATGAAAGAAAATCGTCCAATTATTTTTACCCCTTGAAAACGTACACACGGGGACTCAAAACTTATGGACCACTGTTTAATGTATCCTGTATCAAGACGATTTATAATATACAAAGTGTATTACCCATATAATTTTAATGTTGTTATCGATCCAGTTATCTAAAAATACCAACCTGGATTTATTTGGAAAATTAGCACCTCCGCATTAAAAAAGGCCTTTCTAGAGTCCAAGTGAACAGCCATTAAGGTGTACCATTATCAAGAAACCTCGGTAAACCAAGGCCACTCCTTCAGTCAAAATGATTTCAGGAAGGATTGACCCCCTCCCCCAAAAGAGGGAAACACTTCAACATATCCACACTAACCTCTTCATCCAACTCTTCCTCTTCCTCCTCCTCCTCTTCTCCTTCGCTGCTTTCTTCTGCTCTTCTCCTTCTCACAGGCCGATCCTCGTCCTCGTCCTCTGACCCCTCCGCAATGACCTCAGGCTCAACAACTTCCCGACGGTGACGAGCTACCCGGGCCATTTTACGCATCTCACTGAAACCATACACAGGTACAATCTCAACATACACAGGTAAAAGCTCAACATACACAGGTAAAAGCTCAACATACACACATTAAAGCTCAACACACACAGGTACAAGCTCAACATACACAGGAACAAGCTCAACATACACAGGTACAGGCTCAACATACACACATTAAAGCACACACAGGTACAAGCTCAACACACACAGGTACAAGCTCAACATACACAGGTACAGGCTCAACACACACAGGTACAAGTTCAACATACACAGGTACAAGCTCAACATACACAGGTACAAGCTCAACATACACAGGTACAAGTTCAACATACACAGGTACAAGCTCAACATACACAGGTACAAGTTCAACATACACAGGTACAAGTTCAACATACACACATTAAACCATACACAGGTACAAGCTCAACATACACAGGAACAAGCTCAACATACACAGGTATAAACTCAACACACAGGTTTAAGCTCAACATACACAGGTACAACACACACAGGTTTAAGCTCAACATACACAGGTACAACACACACAGGTTTAAGCTCAACATACACAGGTACAACAGGTTTAAGCTCAACATACACAGGTTTAAGCTCAACATACGCAGGTACAACATACAGAGGTACAAGCTCAACATACAGAGGTACAACACACAAAAAGGTACTTAGTTTTAGTAGAGGTATTACACGCTCGCAACTGCATAAGATCATAATATGAGCGCCAAGGGGTGGATGTCAACAGAGAAGTCTTAACAGGGAATCAGTATTACTCTGCTCACCTCTTTAGTTTCAACAGCACAACGTCTGCTTCGACTATCAAGCTCAACATACACAGGTACAATAAAAACATGTTGGAAGTTAATTTCTCCGTCTAAAGTGACGCCGTATTTTTCAGTCACTAGAGGAGTTGTTTATTTTTTAATTTGACAAAAATGACGGGTAATGAAAGAAAACCTGATAGTCACAACTATAATGGGAGAAATAAATAGCTAGCTCGTACTGTACCGCAGCAGACACTGGCTAGTTCGAAGCAGTATTCTTTTCCTAATATAATAGCATTCCCCACCCCCGATCATTTTGAAGATAAATCTTGTCTTAATGAATTTTTTAAAAACATAGGATTTTTAAAGAAGATTACCTCCCTCTATCAGGTTTTTTTTTGGCAAGCATCAGGATAAATCCCTAGGAGCTCAACGGTAAACAAAAAAATCCTAAGTGTTTCCAGTAGTGCCATGACACATTAAGAAAGCTAGCTCTATCTTGTCCACCGGCCCCCCTATTCCTCACCCAGTTCCCTTATTATGACACTTTAGCAAACAATTCAAACTGAACATTCCCCAGCAACAAGTCACCTACCTATCCTCTTCCTCATCCTCATCGTCTCCATCGCTTTGCTGCTGTTCTCTCTGCTGTAGGCGCTTCAACCTCCGGTCCATTATTTCCTTCTGTCCATCCTCTTCTTCCTCCATCTCCTCCGCTTTCTCTTCCAGCACAGCCATCCGTCCTCTTCCAGCCTGGAAGCCAGCTCCGACCTCCAACTCTTCATCCTCATCGCTGCTGCTGTCTGGGGCAAACTCCGGCCTCTGACCCCTCATGTATCTGGTGACCTTCACCTTCTCCATGGTGATCTCCCCTAAAAGGATCATCACACATCAATTAAAAAAACTGTACACCAAATACGTCAACAAAGTTATTTATAATAGTTTTACTCCAAATATGTCCACAGCAATGAATGTCTAGGAAATAAAATGCTCAGCACACTATTAGAGCGAATCTCAGTGTTGAGTCATTCCTCTATGGAAACATTTGTTTTAGTAAGAGTTTTACAGCACTTGCAACACAATACGGTCATATAAACAAACATAAAAAAGAAGCAGGAGAGATCAGGACGATAGTTGTTTGATAGGAAAGAAGGAGCAAACCACACCAGAGCACCCGCAAATACCAACGGAAACATTTACAATCAACACAAAAGACAAGAGATAGAAGATAAGCAAACAAAAAAAGATAGACCACACTTATGTATGAATGAATACAAACATTTGGACCACATTTATATTCGTAAAAGGGTCACTGAACTCACACAATAGTCTCAAACAACACTAACACATAGACCTTGAATTAATCTAAATGGGGGCAAATAAACACCAATATTCAAAAATCTCAAAAGATAGAAATTATAGTCTCAATGAACAATATCAAGACATTACATGAAAATCTCAAAGAATGCAAGCAGGACCAGATCAGAGACTCAAAGCACACTTCTAGACAGACCATACATAATAACAGTCTCAAAGAACATTTACAGATAGAGACCTTATGACATTCTCAAAATGCAATAACAGAGAGACATAACATCATTGTATAGTCTCAAGATCAGTAAAAGAGACAAATCACTGTGTCACAAAATGTGCTAACAGAGAACACAAAGAGAGAGCCATTACATTGTAGTCTCAAAGAACACATTATGCATGCAGATAGGCTCTACATTTCAAGAAAGAGTTCCGAATGGAGGGTGAAAGTTTATTCCAACCCTTTACACCCCTGTTCCCCATACAAACCCAAACAAAGCCATCCCCTTATAAGCACAACAAAATGTGAACAAATAATGCCTACCGCAGCAGATAAAAAGATACATACCCTTCTCATTCCTCACAGGGATAGCACCTGCCGTAGACATGATGGCAACTTTCCCAAAACGACCTAGCCCTCAGCACAAGTCACAGCATTCACTGCTGGATAAGTCAAGGGGGAACACAGGGAGGGTACAGCTGTAAAGATGATCAATACAAAAAATTAACACTCAAAAATGAAATTAAAAAAAACCCAAACAAATAATTCAACATACCTTTGAACTCCATACACTTGTGTTTAGACATGAAGTGAAAATATCAAAAGCAAGTTCAGTAATATATGTTAAGAGTTCCTCAGAGGGCTAGCACTTATTGTGACATGGTCCACATTATAAGAGTCAGGGTTAAGGTTTGTACACCCCGCTGTCCCGCTAAAAATATTTGCTTTTGTGCGTTGTTGATCATGAGGCCCTCCGCGGAACTCCTTCCGCCAAGTAATACAATGTGTGTGTAGGCTGCTGTGTAGGTAGGCAACAGTGCATTTTCCCCTGTCGAAGTGGCTAGCCGTACTTAAGTACGGCTAGCCTCTTCCGACTTCCTTCCCGCCTTCCCTTGTTTCCCTGAGAGGTTTCCACGATCTTTGATGATAACAATAGAAAGTGGCTATTCTCACCCGCCCGGAAGTTCTCGCAAGATCAACTCCTCCCCTCTTCTCTCTGTCTCTGTCTCTTTCTGAATACTGTCTATCGGTGTGGACGATCAAATTGACCAAAACAAAGTTAAAAAATGATGTTAAAACACAAAAGTAAATTAATTTGGTTGTCTACAAAGATGCTACGGCTATTTAACTTTTCGAATCGAGCCGAACTACGCGGGTCGCCATTTTGTTTTGCCCGGAAATTCTCACGCTACTCCTCTCTCTCTCTCCACTGCCCACAGACAAAATTGTACGCTTTTAGTAGGCTACAGTTGTAATGGAACGTTTGTTCACGGCATAGAATTCTACAATTTTTCTGTTATCACAGTGTAGAATTCTGTGGTTTAGGGTGAACGCAAAATTTGGTGAACGCGCACCTGGTGAGAATAGGCTAGGCTAGCCACAAGACTCGCCTGCCTGCACTATTCTCACTCCGGGTGAGAATAGAGGTGGCCATAACAATAATAGATATTAGGAGGAGTTCATCAAGGGCTGACAAGATATATTCTGTCATGACAGGTTCGACTGTTTACCATCATCGTATAACAACAAGGGAAGGATTCTGACTTCCGTAAAAGTAAAAGTAAAGAGCTACCACTAGCAACCAAGACCAAACAAACACAAAATAAAGAAGAGACCTTAACCGTTCCTAACCTAGATAAGATCTAACCCCTAACCCGCTCTTCTACTCTGTTTCATTGTCGTCGCTCGTTACCGAATTCCTGCAATAACAAGCCTAGATCTAGATGTCAACTATTAAACAGCAACGGCAATAACTGACAATTTGTAGGTAAGACGAAATAACAATTTCTATCAATTATCGATAACAAGTAGTAAAGTAGCAGCCTGCAAATACTTAGTGGATGCTCATTGAAAGTATTTCCTAATAAAAGGGTTGATTACACTAGAGAAATCACAATAAAATGTACCATGATACCTCCTATTCAAAAGGATCACTAACCTGATTTAGAAAGACACTAAATCAACTAAATGTACTAAAAATTGTTTATTTACTGTTTCCAATTTTCACTATCTAAAAGTAAGACGATTGGAAAAGTGAATTAGAACTCTCCTGTGTGTGAACAAACAAACTTGAACGTGTCCTGCATTGCCAGGTTAACAACCTCTTTATTCACACAAACATTGAGTTGAATCATAGGTAACAGAAATATTTATTACATATTAGTAGCTATACAACAAAATATACCGTATCAGTAAAGAAATATTACTCTTGAAGGTTTTTATAATTTACTAAAAAGGAAAATACAATTTTAAAAATATCTTATTATATTATTTTCCTAAAGCTACTCACTTGTACTAAAAACTGGCTGTCAATGTAAATAACAGTGACCTCTTTACTTTACCTAGATTACAAAATTAAGGGGAGAAAACCATAACACTAACGTTGAACCAGATGTAGCAGGATGTAAGCAGAAAGAGTATTTTACTATAGTTTACTCAGGGACTTCTACTTTTCGAGACGTGTTTGCAGAAATCCTTACTTTATTTTCCGTTTGTGTTGCTTTCAATGATAGTAAAGTGTATTACTATTACGACAACCCAGCATCAATGGAATACATTATTTCCTATGGATGGGTTGTAAAGAGTGTGGGGCTTGCTGTGACCAAACATGAGGTCGCAGATTATAATGGATGAGCAATGACTGAAAAGCGAGACAAAAAAA